TAAATTGTTTTCCACCCCCTCACTTTAAATCTGGAGGTGTCTTTGGGTCTAAAATGAGTTTCTTGTGGGCAGCATATTGATGGGTTTTGTTTTTTTTATCCATTCTGGTACCCTGTGTCTTTTGATTGGGGAATTTTAGCCCATTTACATTCAAGGTAACTATTGAGAGGTATGAATTTATTGCCATTGTATTGCCTGTAATGTGACTGTTACTATATATTGTCTCTGTTCCTTTCTGATCTATTACTTCTAGGCTCTCTCTTTGCTTAGAGGCCCCTTTCAATATTTCCTGTAGAGCTGGTTTGGTGTTTCCAAATTCTTTCAGTTTTTGTTTGTCCTGGAAGCTTTTTATCTCTCCTTCTATTTTCAATTGTAGCCTAGCTGGATATAGTATTCTTGGCTCCATGTTTTTCTCATTTAGTGCTCTGAATATATCATGCCAGTTCTTTCTGGCCTGCCAGGTCTCTGTGGATAAGTCCTCTGCCAATCTAAATTTTTACCATTGTATGTTACAGACTTCTTGTCCCAGGCTGCTTTCAGGATTTTCTCTTTGTCGCTAAGTCTTGTAAATTTTACTATTAGATGACAGGATGTGGACCTATGCTTATTGATTTTGAGGGGTGTTCTCTGCATCTCCTGGATTTTGATGATTGTTCCCTTTGCCATATTAGGGAAATTCTCTATAATAATTCTCTCCAATATACCTTCTGCTCCCCTCTCTCTTCTTCTGGAATCCCAATTATTCTAATGTTGTTTCGTCTTATGGTATCACTTTTCTCTTGAATTCTTCCCTCGTGGTTCAGTAGTTGTTTGTCTCTCTTTTGCTCAGCTTCTTTATTCTCTGTCATTTGGTCTTCTATATCAATAATTCTTTCTTCTGCCTCATTTCTCCCAGCAGTAAGAGCCTTCATTTTTTAATTGCACCTCATTAATAGCTTTTTTGATTTCAACTTGGTTAGATTTTAGTTCTTTTATTTCTCCAGAAAGGGCTTTTATTTCTCTGGACAGGGTTTCTCTCATATCTTCCATGCCTTTTTTGAGCCCAGCTAGAACCTTGATAATCGTCATTCTGAACTCTAGATCTGACATATTACCAATGTCCTTATTGATTAGGTCCCTAGCCATTGGTACTGCCTCTTTTTCTTTTTTTTGTGGTGAATTTTTCCGCCTTGTCATTCTGTCCAGATAATATATGAAGGAGTAGATAAAATACTAAAAAGGTGGCAAAGACCCTATGAAAATTTGCTTTAACCAAATCAGAAGAGACCCCAAATCGTTGGGGGGGAGGAAGGGGGGTAAAAAGAAGTTCAGAAAAAAAATTTAAAAAGGAAAACAAATAAAGAAACAATATAAAAAATATATATATACTGGTGACTAGAACAGGGTCACTCACTTAATTTTGGGAGTATTTTGGTCTCTCAGAAGAAACTATCTCTCAAAATTTTAAAAAATGAAAAATGTATATAAGGGTAAACATAATGAAGGGATGGAATATGACTATAAAGATGAAAAAAATCCTTTTTTTTATCTTTCTAAAAAAGGAGTTGATAAGGTAAGTAGGTTGGGAGAATAAAGAAAAAGATAGTGGAGAGAATTTGCTCAGGCTGGAGACCAGAACAAGCCCGGTGCTAGATTTAGGGTGTATTTTGATCTATTAGAAGAAGTTGTACCCCAAATTTTTTAGAAGAAAAAACCCTATGTATACAAAAAATAAAGTTAGATACAATGAAGGATAAAAGATGACTATAATAATGAAGTTTCAAAAAAAGATTATTTTTTTAATGAAATGTGTGGTTAAGATAAACTAGTTAAAAAACACTAAAAGGAAAGGGTAATAGTTAAAAAATTTAGCAGAAAAAAAATTAAAAAAAATTAACTTTTCAAGAAAAAGAATCATGGGGAGAAAGCCATGAATTCCATGCTTTGCTTTCTCCTCTGGAATTCTGCTGTTCTCCTTGGTAAGTGAACTTGGTGTTGGATCTTCTTGATCCTCTGGGGAAGGGGACTGTTGTAGTGATTCTTAGGTGTCTTTGCCCAAGGCTGAATTGCACCGTCCTTACCAGGGGCCAGGCTAAGTAATCTGCTAGGGTTCGCTTTCAGGAGCTTTTTTTTTTTTTTTTAAGATTTTATTTATTTATTTGACAGAGAGATCACAAGTAAGCAGAGAGGCAGGCAGAGAGAAGGGGGGAAGCAGGCTCCCTGCTGAGCAGAGAGCCTGATGTGGGGCTCGATCCCAGGACTCTGAGACCATGACCTGAGCCGAAGGTAGAGGCTTTAACCCACTGAGCCACCCAGGCGCCCCCGCTTTCAGGAGCTTTTGTTTCCTGAATGCCTTCTGTAGAGTTCCAGAGGACGGGAATGAAAATGGCGGCCTCCCAGTCTCTGGCCTGGAGGAGCCAAGAGCTCGGGGCCCCACTCCTCAGTGCATCCTCAGAAAAAAGCGTTCAGTTACTCCTGTCTCCCTGTCCTCCGGCTGCACTCCGAGCTCACCCAGCCTGTGACCAAGCGTCTCTGTCCCTGGCACACAGCTCCGCCTAGGGTCTCTGAACCGCAGATCCCTGAGCTCTTCCAGGGGGTCTCCCTGGATCTTGTGGGGACCCCACTCACAGAGCAGTAGCCTGTGCCACGGATTAGGTTCAAGATAACCCCGAGTTGAGAGCTCACTCCTCAGCTCCGTCTCTGTAGCTGACTTCCCTGCTCTAATACCTGCGAGCTCTGAGACACTTAGATATCCCCGATCCTTCTGTGACCCTGTGGGACCAGAGGCCACGCTGTCCCCATGTGGGCTTCACCCCGGTGTAGCCTCTGGAGTGATGTCCCTCAGTGGAGCAGACTTTTAAAAGTCCTGATTTTGTGCTCCGTTGCTCCGCCGCTTGCCGGGAGCCGGCCCCTCCCCCCTGCAGTCTATCTTCCCATTGCTTTGGATTCACTTCTCTGCCCATTCTGCCTTTCAGAAAGTAGTCGATTTTCTGTTTCTAGAATTGTTGCTCTTCTTCTCTTCAATCTCCTCTTGGATTTGTAGGTGTTTGGAGTGATTTGATAAGCTATCTAGCTGATCTCCTGCTACCTGATGTCGTCTCACCCTGCTACTTCTCCGCCATCTTGACTCCTCCCCTCTGGAAGCACCTTTCTTTCCTTAGATTTTATACAGGCTGCTTGGTTGCCCTACAACCTCAACTCTTTGATCGGTTCAAGAAAAGTTGTGATTTTATAGTTCATCTAACTTTTTCTCATTCTGTTGGCAGGGTGGGGGGTACGGTATTCTGTCCAGCTCTCTACATCCTAATCACAAGTCAAATTACAGTGTTTTAAAGCCACTTGAAATAGTTGCTCTCTGTGTGGTTGTGAATATTTAATTCATCATACCATAGGTTCATATATTTTATTTTTCTTTTAGTTTTAAGGACTTCTTTTAAGTTTTAATTTTGTTTCATAATTATGTGAACTATTTATATGATTTCAAGTCATATACATGGAACAACTTGTATTTGACAAAGCCTAGCCTCTTTCCCTGTCTCCTCTACCTTATTCCTCCCTTTCCTTAATAGGAGACCTCTTTTTAAAAAAACCATATGACGTACATCACACTGCATGATTTATTTCTTACACATTTCTTACATTTAAAAGATAACATTAGGGGTGCCTGGGTGGCTCAGCCTGTGAAGCATCTGCCTTTGGCTCAGGTCATGATCCCAGGGTCTGGTGATCAACTCCCACATCAAGCTCCTTGCTCCGCAGGGAGTTTGCTTCTTCCTCTCCCTCTGCTCCTTATGCTCTTTCTCTGTCAAATAAATAAAATCTTAAAAATAACGTTCAGGTGTGAGAGTGTGTATTTGTATTTTCTCCTTTCTTAGGTAAATGGTAGCATATTTTACAGACTTTTCTCCACATTCCTTTTTTATTTAACACTCCATAAATAGTACTTTGAAGATATTCCCATTTCTTTTATAGCTGCATAGAACTCTGTTATATCCATATCCCATACTTTATTCAAGTAGTCGTCTGTTGATGGGCATATGGGTTATTCTCGGGTTTTTGCTTTTATAAGTAGTGTTATAATAAGTAGCTTTGTGTATATGTGTTTTTGTGTTTTTGCCCCTTGTCTTTAGACTCCTAAAGGTGGCATTGCTTAGTCAATGGGTGATCCATGTATAAATTTGCTAGATATTGCCAGATTCATCTTCAGTAGACTGTAGTATTATTTTGCATTCCCACCAGATGTGTGTGAATACTTCACTCCCAGAGTATGTTGTCAAACTGTTGTATTTTTGCCAGTCTTAACAGGGAAAAGTGTTTATTACAAGTAGCTTTAATTTGCATTTCTTATTAAAAGTGTGTTTGAGAAGTTATTTTTCATAAGTTCTTTGAGCAACTTTATTCTTCCTAAAATTTCAGTGTACTGTCTTGTACTTCATTTACCTGCAACTGCTACCCTTTAAATATTGTGCCTTTTGGGCCAAAATCCATGTGAGAAGGGATTGCTTTTATTTTCTTAGGGACTTGAAGATTTCAGAGTTTTAGTTATACTAATAAAATTTGGCATTTGAACATAAGAGTTTATAAGCTTGCAATCTCATAATTCACTTTGGAAATGTTACTTGATCTGGTTTGCTAGGTAACCTGGTAGAAAGAGTAGAGATAAGAATTTATTTTGATATTTCCTTGTTCTTCCCAGTTTCCCATTAGGCTTCACTTCACGCTCCTTTCTAGCCAGCAGAGCCCACCAGAGCCTACCACAGAGCAAAAGAGCTATAGAATTGTGGCTGTGTGAAGATGCGATTGCCAAAAGGTCGCTTTCAGATAGCTGTGCAATCTTGCTAGCTTGTGCCATGTGAAGGTTTTATGCTTGAAAGAAAGCAAATATTTGAGGGCAAGAAAGTGTCTATGCCATTTACTTTGTAATTTTTTCCATCATGTGCCATCTCCTTCTTTAAGTTAAAAGAAAAAACCATTTGAGAATTTTAGTTGACCACATTGTGTAATGTCTGGTAAACTAATACCTTACTTTAAAAACTGTGTAACACCCCATGAAAAGACATAGTCCCTACTCACTAGGAAATGATGTCTTTGAAAAATGTTGCAGTTGATTACAGACTTTAATTTTTTTCCCCAACTCTTCTCAGTTTGCAGGCCTTTCTGATATATCAATCTCACAAGACATCCCTGTGGAAGGAGAAATCACCATTCCTATGAGATCTCATATTCGGGAATTTGACAGCTCCACATTAAATGAATCTGTTCAGAATACCATTGTAAGTTAGCCTAGCTGAGAGAACTTCTGTTCAGTATCATGGGACTAAGTAACTATAGGACTTTTTTTTGTTTGACTCACTGATTTTCAGTACATCTTATTTATTGAAATTTAAGATTTTCCCCTAGAGAATAACTCATATAGCCTTTCTGGAGAGCAATTTGGCTATAATGAATATTAAGAATCTTACAATGTTCGAATATTTTTAAGCTGGTAATTCTGCTCCACATAGGGTATATGGAATTTTAAAAAACATATTTTTCAAAATACAGAAGAATATTAATATACAAAGATGTTTATTACAGCATTCCTTATAATAAGGGTAAATTGAACAACAGAAGGGATTTCAGTTAAGTAAATTATATCTATGGGATGGAATACTAAACAACTGTTAAAAATGTATTTATAAAGAACTGTTAATTACATGAAGAAATTTCTAGGTGAAAAAATTAGGACAGAATTATCTCAACTATATTTTGACAGCTTATATTTGTATTACTGTACTCTTCCTCAAATGTCTAGATTTTTTAAAAACTTTTATTTATTTATTTATTTGAAAGAGAGAGAGAGGAGATTGAACAGGGTGGGGGAGGGGGAGAGTGAGAAGGAGAGCAGACTCCCTGCTGAGCAGGGAGCCCAACAGGGGCTTGATCCCAGGACTGTAAGATCATTACCTGAGCCACCCAGGTGCTCCTCAGCTATTTTGATTTTTAAAAATCTTGCTTCTAGGATTCATTTACCAGTTAAATTGTGAATGTTGGAAATTAATTTGTTTTATTCTGTATAATATGGTAGTTAGGGAGCAGGCTAATTGGCCCTTAGGACTTCATCAGTTATGAACTGAAAGTCAGATGCCATGTGTTGCAGAGAAGATTTTAATAGTTACATTATTTTAGTTTCTTTAAGTAACATATTAGTACAGCTGTGTTTCTCCTTTAAAGAGCTTTAAAAATCAAAACAGAACAGGTGGATGTGGTAAAGAGTTAAATGTTGGCTTAAGGAGTTAATTAAAAAGTTAATAGAGCATGGGTAGTATATAAGACTGATGAATCATTGACCTCTACCTCTGAAACCGATTATGCATTTTATATTAATTAATTGAATTTAAGTAAATTAAAAAAAGGAAAAAAGTTAGTATAAATGCATTACCTTTCTGTTTGTTTGTATAGTGAAGGGGTAAAACTGACATTGTAATTCCCAAATTCAGTGAACCTAGGAGGTTAAAATAAATTTGAGCAAATTAAGTGAGGGGACTACTTCATAACTTGGTCAGGACACTACAAGAAGTTGTTTATGTCTTTCAGATGCGTGATCTAAAAGCTGTTGGGAAAAAATTCATGCATGTTTTGTACCCAAGGAAAAGTAATACTTTGTTGAGAGATTGTAAGTATATAGTTTTTTGAGGATTTGCTGTTTTTCACTGAACCTTATCAAATACTTTATGTGGCTACATTGCTGTGATAAGAAAACTGGCATTTTGCAGAATGAAAAATATATAAAAGAATATGCAAATGAACATTTTGGAAGAATTTAAACATTTAGAATTGAATTTCAGAGATTGGAAGACTTTGCCTAATGTATCATCTTTGTCAATAAATATAGACAGTATATCTTTTTTTGTTTGTTTTTGTTTTTGTTTTATTAATTATTTTTATTAAAATATAATGTATTATTTGCCCCAAGGGAACAAGTCTGTGAATCATCAGGCTTGCACACTTCACAGCACACACCAAATCACATACCCTCCCTAATGTCCATAACCCAACCACCCTCTCCATACCTCCTGCCCCCCAGCAACCCTCAGTTTGTTTCATGAGATTTAGAGTCTCTTATGTTTTGTCTCCCTCCCAATCCCATCTTGTTTCGTTTTCCTTTCCCTAACCCCAAAGGCCCCCCCATTCTGCCTCTCAAATTCCTCATATCAGAGAGATCACATGATAATTGTCTTTCTCTGATTGACTTACTTCGCTCAGCATAATACCCTCTAACTCCATCCACGTTGTTGCAAATGGCAAGATTTCATTTCTTTTGATGGCTGCATAGTATTCCATTGTGCATATATACCACATCTTTATCCATTCATCTGTTGATGGACATCTAGGTTCTTTCCATAATATGGCTATTGTGGACATTGCTGCTATGAACATTCGTGTGCACATGCCCCTTCAAAATCACTACATTTGTATCTTTAGGGCAAATACCCAGTAGTGCGATTACTGGGTCATAGGGTAGCTCTATTTCTAACTTTTTGAGGAACCTCCATGCTGTTTTCCAAAGTGGTTGCACCAGCTTGCATTCCCACTAACAATATAGGAGGGTTCCCCGTTCTCCACATCCTCTCCAACATCTGTCGTTTCCTGACTTGTTAATTTTAGCCATTCTTACTGGTGTGAGGTGGTATCTCATTGTGGTTTTGATTTGTATTTCCCTGATGCCGAGTGATGGTGAGCATTTTTCCATGTGTCAGTTGGCCATCTGGATGTCTTTGCAGAAATGTCTATTCATGTCCTCTGCCCATTTCTTGATTAGGTTATTTGTTCTTTGGGTGTTGAGTTTGTAAGTTCTTTATAGATTTTTGGATACTAGCCCTTTATCTGATATTTCATTTGCAAATATCTTCTCCCATTCTGTCAGTTGTCTTTTGGTTTTGTTGACTGTTTCCTTTGCTGTGCAAAACCTTTTGATCTTGGTGAAGTCCCAAGAATTCATCTTTCCCCTTGCTTCCCTTGCCTTTGGCAATGTCTCTAGGATGAAGTTGCTGCGGCTGAGGTCGAAGAGGTTGCTGCCTGTGTTCTCCTCAAGGATTTTGATGGATTCCTTTTTCACATTGAGGTCCTTCATCTATTTTGAGTCTGTTTTCGTGTGTGGTGTAAGAAAGTGGTCCAATTTCATTTTTCTGCATGTGGCTGTCCAATTTTCCCAACACCATTTATTGAAGAGGCTGTCTTTTTTCCATTGGACATTCTTTCCTGCTTTGTCGAAGATTAGTTGACCATAGAGTTGAGGGTCTATTTCTGGGCTCTCTATTCTGTTCCATTGATCTATGTGTCTGTTTTTGTGCCAGTACCATACTGTCTTGATGATGACAGCTTTGTAATAGAGCTTGAAGTCTGGAATTGTGATGTCACCAACTTTGGTTTTCTTTTTCAATATTCCTTTGGCTATTTGAGGTCTTTTCTGGTTCCATATAAATTTTAGGATTATTTGTTCCAGTTCTTTGAAAAAATTGATGGTATTTTGATAGGGATTGCATTGAATGTGTAGATTGCTTTAGGTAGCATGAACATTGTCACAACATTTGTTCTTCCAATCCATGAGCATGGAACGTTTTTCCATTTCTTTGTGTCTTCCTCAATTTCTTTCATGAGTACACTATAGTATTCTGAGTACAGATTCTTTGCCTCTTTGGTTAGGTTTATTCCTAGGTATCTTATGGTTTTGGGTGCAGTTGTAAATGGGATTGACTCCTTAATTTCTCTTTCTTCTGTCTTGCTGTTGGTGTATAGAAATGCAACTGATTTCTGTGCATTGATTTTATATCCTGACACTTTACTGAATTCCTGTATGAGTTCAGGTGGTTTTGGAGTGGAGTCTTTTGGGTTTTCCACATATAGTATCATATGCAAGGAGTGATAATTTGACTTCTTTGCCAATTTGGATGCCTTTAATTTTTTGTTGTTGTTGTCTGATTGCTGAGGCTAGGACTAGGATTTCTAGTACTATGTTGAATAACAGTCGTGATAATGGACATCCCTGCCATGTTCCTGACCTTAGGGGAAAAGCTCTCAGTTTTCCCCTATTGAGAATGATATTTGCGGTGGGTTTTTCATAGATGGCTTTGATGATATTGACCTATGTACCCTCTATCCCTACACTTTGAAGAGTTTTGATCAAGAAAGGATGCTGTACTTTGTCAAATGCTTCTTCAGCATATATGGAGAGTATCATATGGTTCTTGTTCTTTCTTTTATTAATGTATTTTATCACAATGATTGACTTGTGGCTGTTGAACCAACCTTGCAGCCCTGGAATAAATCCCACTTGGTCGTGGTGAATAATCCTTTGAATGTACTGTTGGATCCTATTGGCTAGTATTTTGGTGAGAATTTTTGCATCTGTGTTCATCAAGGATATTGGTCTGTAATTCTCCTTTTGATGGGGTCCTTGTCTGGTTCTGGGACCAAGGTGATGCTGGTCTCAAAAAATGAGTTTGGAAGTTTTCCTTCCATTTTTATTTTTCAGAACAGTTTCAGGAGAATAGGAATTAATTCTTCTTTAAATGTTTGGTAGCATTCCCCTGGAAACCATCTGGCCCTGGGCT